TATAAGTGGCGGCCAGCGCAAGCGTGTGTGAGGGATGTCACGATGAGTACCATATTAATAAGACTCTACAGATCTTAGCAGTTTCTCCTGGTATTGTTGACAGAAAATAACCAACTCTAAAAAAATTAATAATTAATGAGATTTATTTCCAAGCAGAATATGAGTGACCAAGGCCCAGACAGGAGACAAAACATACCTTTCTCTGGGTGATCAGGTACAGGGGTTCCTTTTATCTGATTTTGAGAGTGAGATCAGAAAAGAATGTACACCAGTACTATGTCAAGGGCAGGATGTGGAAGAATCCTGTTTCTAATGGGCCAAAATGGTCTGTCAACATCCGAGGGTGTGATTCCCTCTAGGCCCTCCGGAAGGAATTTTGAATAAAAAAAAGAAAAGAAAAGAAAAGCCTGCCAGACTTCTGTCCACAGTTGTAACCTCCTTGCCCCTGAACACCTTCCTCCAAATAGTCCCAATGTCTCTTACCTTTGTGTCTCTGCCTGTGTCTTCCCTGTCTTTGAAATTATCTTGTTTCTTTTTTGGGGTAAGAACCTTGGGTGCTGGAAAAGAACATGCAAAAATCTCTCATTGAGATTTTTTATTTTTCCCTGAGGCTGCAGAGACTTTCTTTAGGAAAAAACGATCTATTATGAATGGGAATCCACTATATACAACTAATAGGAGGACCAAGACCTCAACGATCTCTGCTGGAGAAATCCTAAGCACAAAAGGCTGCCACAGAGTATGAAGGGAACAAGCCCTAGTTTATCAAAAACTGGTTTAAAAAGTGGCCTGAGCCAGCACCACAACCTAGTGGTTAAAGGAGCTGGATCCTACATGGCTGACCACAGTTTGAACCCCAGCTCCAGTGACCTGAAAACTACACCAGGCATTTGTACATGCATGCCCCCAATCCCAGCAGGATGGAGAAACAGAGGGAGCCGCGGCAGGACCATGCTCATCATGTGCTCTCTCTCTCTCTCTCTTTCACTAATGAACACATGCAACCTCCAGCAAATAAATAAAAAGAGGTCTTCATAAATCTATAGTAATTAATAAAGAAGTCAAACTAGTAGTTTGAAATCTGTCCTCCCTAGATAATGACTGAGATGTAAATTTACATGTAAATTCTAACTGAACTGCTAAAACAGATTAATTTATGTGCAGACTGTTAAGAGACAAAGGTGTAAGCTCTCCCAAATTGTTAAAAGCCATTGTATGCCAACATAATAAGGAGAATATGAGAAAAGAGTAATATTAGGGCAATTTCATGTATTTAGGAAGGCCAGCAATTTATTCCCATGTTTGTGCTACAGAGATATTTAATTATGCAGGGTTATGTTACAAGGTAGAAGGTTGAGATTTAGCAGGTAGCCTAGACTAAAATATGGAAATCATTCTTTATAGGAAGACATATTTTAATTATATTATTACAGAAATGACTGTATTTGAGACTCTATGTCTCCTTACTAATTTGTGTGACAGAAACAGATAGGCTATTAAGGAGGAAGAATTCAAGCAGAGCCTTCCCAGACAGGAAATCTTAGTGGGGGTGTCTGAGAGAGCTAGTGTAGAAATTCATGCAGAAACTTTGAGCAGGGCTTGGCAGAGTACTTAGCAAATTTTAGTGTCACAGAAGAGACAAGACACTTCATTTGTAGTCTGTGCTGACAGCCCCTGGGGTGATGCAATCTTTTGGAGTTTGTGGTGTTCCTGTTTTCCACTGTGTATTGCGCTTGAAGTCAGATCTTTAGAGACCCCCTAAGGCCATGGGAATTAGGTGTGTATTTCTAAGCCCCATCTCAATACCTGGTAAATGTAAGTGTCAAGAGGTGGGTGGGCATCAGTCTCTCAGCAGGCTGTTTAAGTCCTGTGTGGTGTTTGGATTGTTTCTATTTCAATGTTCTAGTTAATAATTAAGTTTGTAAGAAATTAGGTTAACAATATAAGTTATATTAACTTTGATGTGTATCAGGCTTTTAAATTTTAAAGTCAATAGTGACAAATTTAATTCTCTAAACAATGTCTACGAGCCCGGTCTTACAGATAAGACCGTTAAGTCGTTGGTGGTAGGATTTGTCACACAAATAACAAGCGACAAAAAAACCAAGTGGTCCAGACATATCACTCGCCGCTGCAGGCATTTATTTTTTGGTATGGTATTTACCTATTTTTTAAATGACTGCAGACTGCTCTGCACACTGTCTGGAAAAATGTAAACTGAAATTTATATGTATTTATTTGCTTATTTTGTATTCGTATGTCCCCTGGATGACTTAATGTTCTTGATCTGAGGTCCGTTGTGTGCATTTCAGTTTTGATGTTTCTGTCAGAACTTCTAATGAGCCAAACAAGTCTTGCAGAGTCAAGCACTCAGTGTTCTGAGCTCCTGAACTCTGTTACCCTGGCTTACCTGGAAGATCTTTCTGTGCAGATGGCTTCTGCTAGTTAAAATTGTTTACTCAAAGGCCCAGTTGGCAACTGTGGTACTAAATTGTCAAACTTAAGTTGATATTGGGCTCTTAAATATCATTGTCAAAGGAACATGTATTAATAATTCAGTGTGTGACATTGATTTGAGTTGAGCATTTGCATGGTTTGGTTAATTTTAAATATTTCACATACTCTGATTTTTGAAACTTCTTTCTGTTCTAAATCTATTTGTTTTGAGTCTGTTACTGTATTTTTCTTGTCCTTTGTATTTTTATCTGTTTTTTAAGCTTCTATCAGAAATGTAAGTAAGAATCACTTGGTAACTTGCCACACAATGCACATCTCATAGCTTTAAATCTGTAATCAGCAATAAAGGAAGCCCCAAACTGAAAAATGAAAATGAGAATATTTTAGATGTGGAAAGGCCAGCGTGCTCGGACTTGCTGGTGGCACTTCATGGCCTCATCCTCAGGGCGTCTCCAGTGCTCCTCTGAGCCGTCCCCTCCAGTGAACGTCACGGTGAAGCAGGAGCTGAGCCATCACCGTCCCCAGTTTAACTCCTTACAGCTAGACCATAATGTGCTGCTGTTCGGGGACTCTCACGTGCACCTGAATCCTGACCATTCTTTCAAAGTGATTATAGGAATCTCTGAATCTCTTTGCTCCATGAATTACAACTTTTGAAATTTTTTGCCTTTCCACTTGAAAAACAGATACTGCTTTTCTCTCAATTATCTCAAGCAGTGCATAGGTTCATGCCCCTGGGTAAGGGTCCCTATAGCTTTGGCAGGCTTTGAGTAAACCAGATAGCAAGCTCAAAAACTATTTTATAAATGTGAAAAGTAAAAAAAAATAAACAAGAAGACTCCCATCTCCAGATAGGCAAGGTCTGACTGCCTATGCATCGTGTCCTTCCATCCGCTGGGCTCTGGAAAGCAGGGGTGCTGCCTTGGCCCACTTGCAGGTGAGCCGTCCCAGGCTCAGCATCAGCCGGAAGGTGTCTGCATCACCGAGAGATGCAATTTGGTCTGACCTCCGACAATCTTTAGTGGCAATGATTTCTAAATTACTTGGTATTATGAAAGGAAACTTAGTGAGCTCTGTGTGAACCTCCTCAAAAACAGCAGTACACAGAAAGTGGGTCTCCACTGAAAATGTCACACCTCTGTCCCTGCTGACTTCAGTAGTGTTTGACTTCTGCACGAGAGACAAGCATGCCAGTCATCAGTCTGCCTCATGTAGTTCATCAAACAAATCCGGGCAGCTGTCTGAAGATGGTCCACTTTCATGGCCACTATCATCACCTTATTATTTTTAGGCCTAGTTTCTCCCATGAGAGTTGGGAAGAGAGAGAAAGTCATCCTAAACAGAGTCTTCACGATGTGGCCCAGCCCCGGTCTTGGCCAGTCAGGGTTGCAGGGTCTTCACGACGTGGTCCAGCTCCGGTTCAGGATCATGAAGGATGGTTTTTACGCAAAGTAAAAACAAACCGTATTACTCTGCATATGGACTTTTACCTTCACTGGTATTTTTTCTCATTTTGGTAAAACAGAATATAAAACCAAACCAAGTTCCAGATATTGCATTTTGCTCTCTTGAGGACCATAAATCAAAAGGACACATTATGGTATTCAAACAGCCCAATGAAAAATGATCAACCTTGATTTGTTAGCTAATATATATCATGCTTCACTTGAAAGCAAGAAACTCTGAATTCTCCTCTTGAACTTTTTGGGAAACTAAATCAATGAATGGGAAGTGCTCCAGGTCTTCCCCAACATCTTTGAGGAAGAGGAAGTTTGGCCTCCAATGATGGACAGCAGGAAAGGACCACAGTGGGACTCTGACTCACTGACAGTTCTGGTATTACACCTGAAGTCAGCTTGCTCTGTTCATTCTGGGACAGAAAAGGTCTAAACTACAGTCTAACAACAGCATTTTCCACCACATTTTCTTTTAAATGTTCTTCTTGTTTTAGAGAGATTTTTGCTATAGGGTGTGCACTCATCGGAGAGACAGAAAGTGAAAACTCACCCACCAAGGGGAATGGCCACGTTGCAATCCCCTCTCCTCCATTCTCCTCTCAGGATCTTAGGGACACATGTACATGTGCCTGGCATGAGGTTCAAGTTGCCAGGTCCGGGACTCGAACTGCAGTCAACTATGTGGTTGAACAAAAGTGAGAGAATGAGGAGCTGCATTGATTAGAGCAGTTTCCACACACTTTGTGCTCATGGTCTTTGTGCTCAGTGGTATCATTAAAAAGCCAAACTAGGTCTGGAAAGTTTGTGCTTTCTCTCAAAAGGAGGTAGTTAGGAGCTTAATCCTGAGAACAAAACACAAGGGTTCTGATTTTAATAGGAACATTCAACAGGATTGAGTGAAACCAAGTCCATGGATTACATTAGAAGTCCTTATCCCTAGCCTTTTAGCAGGTTCCTGGAAAGGACTGTGACATGGGACAGAGGCAGCCTTCAGGGATGCAAATGACCAACGTAGGGCACATTGGAAATCAGAGAACACATCCGATGTCTCTCTTTTCTTTATTTCTCCCTACAGATAATATCTGGTAAGAAATGGCTACTTCAAACTCCTCTTCAGGGGATGAGTTTATTCTTGAAGGGTTAACAAAACGCCCAGAGCTTCAGCTGCCACTCTTCCTGCTGTTCCTCGGAGTGTATGTGGTCACTGTGGTGGGGAACATTGGCATGATCCTCTTAATTGCTGTCAGTCCTCACCTCCACTCCCCCATGTACTATTTCCTCAGTCACTTGTCCTTCATTGATCTCTGCTACTCCTCGGTCATTACTCCTAAGATGCTGGTGAACTTTGTGTCAGAGAAGAATGTCATCTCCTTCCTGGAGTGCATGGTCCAGCTCTACTTCTTCCTGGTGTTTGTAATCGCAGAAGGCTACCTTCTGACGGCCATGGCATATGACCGCTATGTTGCCATCTGTAGTCCACTGCTTTACCACAGCGTCATGTCCCAGAGGGTCTGCTCTGTCATGATGGCTGTGGTGTACTCACTGGGTCTGTTTGGGGCCACAGTCCACACTGCCCGCATGTCAGTTCTGTCCTTCTGTGGGTCTCACTCTGTCAGCCATTACTTCTGTGATATCCTCCCCTTGTTGACCCTCTCTTGCTCCAGCACCCACATCAACGAGACGCTGCTGTTTGTTATTGGAGGAGTTAATACCTTGGCACCCACACTGACCGTCCTCATCTCTTATGCTCTCATCCTCGCTAACATCCTCCGCATTAGCTCCACTGAGGGACGATCAAAAGCCTTTGGCACTTGTAGCTCCCATCTCACTGCTGTGGGCATATTTTTTGGGTCTATAACATTCATGTACTTCAAGCCCCCTTCTAGCAATACTATGGAACAAGAGAAGGTGTCCTCCGTGTTCTACACCACAGTGATCCCCATGCTGAATCCCCTCATCTACAGCCTGAGGAACAAGGATGTGAAGAAGGCACTGAAGGCAGTGGTGGGAGGACGCAATCATCTTGATTAAGCAAATTCTCATAGGGAGCAGTAAATAAAGAATGAGATGAAATGTCTTGAGATCTAATTTTCTTTCTGTCTTCTAGATAGAAAGTCATCATTGTTTATGAGAGATATGTTTAATACTTGAGAATGATGGCGATATTGTTGGATGTCATTAAATAATATTATTTTCTACTTTTGGATATGTATTAGAGAAATAGGAGTTGACAGAAAAGGTAAGATAAATGAACGTTTAAAAATATATATTAAACATATCAATTTTGACAATGCTGTGAACTACGAAGTGAGTTTAGGGTTGTATTTGAGGAGGGATGATGTTAACAGGAAAGTCAAAATTTCTGGAGGGTGGGAAAAGCTATCTAAATTTTTGAGAGGAGGGATTAATTTTCAATCCCAAAGTCTTTTTTTTTTTTTTTTTTGAGAGGTTTTTGCTATAGGGCGCGTGCTCTCGCCAGAAAGGCAGAGAGAGACAGAGAGCTAGAAAGCGAGAAATCCCTTCTCCTCCATTCTCCTCTCAGGATCTTGGGCACGCACGCACACCTGCCCAGCGTGAGTTTAAGCCACCAGGTCCAGGACTTGAACCGCGATCAGCTATATGGGAGTTCAGCGACATAGCCATTACGCTAACTGCTGGTCCCAATCCCAAAGTCTTTATATTGAGATATAAGGATATTGAGATGGACTGTGATGGGTATATTGTTCATGATGAAGATCATGGTGCGTGTGTATGAGAGAGAGAGCTCACACCAGGCAGTTGAGGCTGCTGATCAGATGCATAGGTTACCAACACCTTATGCACTCCCAGTAAGATCTCTAGTCCCACTGAGGCCCCACATGGCCTCTCTTTGGACAGTTTGACCTAGGCTATGGCTTTCCAGCATGCTGTCTAGAGGAGCTTCACTCCAGCTTGGGGAGCTGAACTTGTGTTTCATCTCATCCGATAGCAATCCTGGATGATGTCAGTGGTGTTCTTTTCTCTGGAATTCTATGTCTCTTTCCTACCCTCTATACGAATCCCAGTTGTGAACACCTTGGATTTCCCCATACCCACCACTTCCCTTTTAGGAACCCAGTCATCTCAAGTAAACCCAGTCTTACAGTGGTTTCGGGTGCTGGGATGCCATCACAGCACCAGTGTGTTACCCCAGTCCTGCTGCCCCTACACACAGCACACCTCCAGAGAGCTAGACGAGGGGTAGCTAGCTGTACGACTTAGCATTTCTGGGTTTTGTCAATGGTTTGACAAAGCAAACTTTAATCGAATTTGCAGATGATGTGAAATTATAAGAACAGCTAATTTAATGCATGACAGAATCAAGATTTACAGAAACTTCTAGAGGCTGGAGTGAGGGCCACATTTAATGAGATTAAGATATATGTGGTAATATAAAATTCTATACTTCTACACAAATTAAGAGAGTGGGAAAGACACTGGTTAATTTTTTTTTTTTTAATGACAATAGGGTCAACAGAAGTAAACAGCACAGTGACCTAAAAAGTTAAGGTTACCTTGTCTGCATTAGCTACATTTTAGTATTTAGAATGAGAAATAATCCAGTCATGAGACCAGCAGTTGGCATAATGGCTGTCACTGGACTCCCATGTAGTCGACCACAGTTCGAGTCCCAGACCCAGCTGCTTAAACTCACACCGGGCGCGTGTGCGTGCGTCCCCAAGATCCCGAGAGGAGAACGGAGGAGAAGGGGTTGCAGTGTGGCCATTCCCCCGGGGGGTGATTTCTCACTTTCTCTCTCTCTGTCTGTCTGGCGAGCTCACGCGCCTTATAGCAAAAACCTCTCCAAAACAAAAAACAAAACAAAACAAAACAAAAACAAGAATCCAGTCATCACTCACACTGTACTAATCAGACTATTCCAGCTCTAATGTAATTTATTTAGTGGACATCAACCATTTCTCCAGGGGCTGTCAGCACTTTAAAGTACACTCCAAGGCAGGTGCCCATGATAAAGGGACTGAAATCATGCACAACTTGGTTTGCTTATTTTCTAGATCATTCATTTAACACACACTTACTGAATGCCCAGTAAGGGCTTGACGGCACTCCTCACGCTCCTCCCAGGGGTGCCCGCCATGGACAAGACTCCTCACGCTCCTCCCAGGGGTGCCCCCCATGGACAGGACTCCTCATGCTCCTCCCAGAGGTACCCCCCGTGGACAGGACTCCTCACGCTCCTCACACGGGTGCCCCCCATGGACAGGACTCTTCACGCTCCTCCCAGGGGTGCCCCCCATGGACAGGACTCCTCACGCTCCTCACACTGGTGCCCCCCGTGGACAGGACTCCTCATGTTCCTCACATTGGTGCCCCCCATGGACAGGACTCCTCACGGTCCTCATACTTTTGCCTACATGGATGGGACTCTTCCGGTGAGGACCCACCAGAGACTGGACTCCTTGTCACATGGAGAAAGAGTCAAACAAAAGCACAGCTCTCACCTTCATCTGATTCAGGTCTTAGTCTCAAATAGAGGCTATAAACAGGAGATCAATGTATTACATGTCTTCACATTGTAAAATGTTTTAGAAAAAATAAAGCAAGATAAAAGATATCATGCAGGGGCATGTGCGTGTTGCCCAAAATCTCAGGAGGAAAATGGCCATCCCCTAGGGGGTGATTTCTCACTTTCCCTCTTACTATCTTTTTCTTTCTCTCTAGCAACTGCATACATGGCAAAAATCTAAAAAAGATAAAAGATATCTATAGCAGATATTGGCAAATGATTACCTGATACACGGAAGGGCTGGGGGGTAGCTATTAAAGTTGTAGTAGTTTTTGCCACTGAGCACAAACTAGGCTGAATGAGAGGGAGTTACACAGAAGTCACTTATACTCAGTTAAGGGACTGGTCTAAAAATCAGAGTTGTCCACAAAATAATTAACCATCTTAGGGATTTGGGAGCTATTCAGCCATAGAAACTTAAATACAGGCGAGACAACCCTGTCTGGGGCATTCTCAGGTCAGTACTGTCTGAAGACAGGGTCAATGAGCAAAAGGCTTCCTGACCTGCCTTTGTTCCAACACATTCTGGTTTTCCCTGTCTTCTTTGTCTTCCTTCCCACTGTAGACCATGCCTCCCCTTCTTTCCTTTCATCTCTGTTCTTTTATTTTTATTTCTCTTCTCTTCTTTTATACAAGCTCCTGTAGGTCACTTTGCCTTCGTAGTCTGGTGGTCAATTTTGCTCTTAAATGAGATTTTGTTGAATGTCACTGGGACTGAGATTTTAGTTGTGTACACCAGGCATCTTTACTTAAAATCGCTGAGCCCATGACTGCACCTCGAGGTACACATGTGTCTTGGTGCTTCGCTGCCATAAGCCTGTGTTGCGCGTGACCTGTTTACATGAGGTGAGCTAACCAGATTATTGCCAGTCCTCTCCGCTTAGACCCTCGTTTCTCAGATCAGTGTTGATGACCAGCATCTCCTCAGGACAAACCGTAACCAACCCCACACGCGGGCGTGGTCAGACCTCATGAGCCACACATGCTGAGGCTTAGTATGCTATGAATTAAGAATTTCTGCTTTGGGAAAAGAGAACCCTAGAGTGTAATTAAGAGGTATTTTTTCATGAGAAACTGAGTTGAGTATCCTCTGAGTCATTTCAATCTGACATGTTCTTCCTGGTTTCTTTCACCTTGTAAATAATCGTCAAAACCCTGCACTCAGGCACCCTCAGGATCATCTTGAAGCTGTAGGAGTGAACTAAATGCTTCGTATTCAAAAGTCAAGACTTGCTGTGACTTCAAAGAGGAAGGACATTTAATCTTTGATAGAGACATGCATTTACCTCCCCCTAATTCACTCAGTGTCTGAAAAGATCAAATCTCAACCCCGTTATAAACTTTCCAGGGCCTTCTTTGCCTTCCCCAGTCCCTCCAACTTCGTCTTCCTACCCCTTCCATGTTCCACTTCAAGATGGGTAGATATTCCAGGAGTGGCCAAACTCTACAATGATAACATTTCCGAACATTTTATCTCCTGAGAAATATATAGTACAATATTGCCTTCCATTTTTTTTTTTTGAGAGGTTTCTGCTATAGAGTGCGTGTGCTCGCCAGAAAGACAGAGACAGAAAGTGAGAAATCGCCCCCCAGGGGGATTGTCACACTGAAATCCCTTCTCCTTCATCCTCCTCTTGGGATCTTGGGTATGCACACACACGTGCCTGGCATGAGTTTAAGCCACTGGGTCCAGGACTCGAACCATGGTGCCTCCTCTTTCTGTGCCTTCCTGGGCACCTTTCCTACTGAGGTAAAAAGGGAGACAGTTGTGCTCCAAGCTGCTGATGGCTGGGAGGAGGGGTAGGACAGGAATGAGAGTGGAGCTTGATCAGCCTGGACTTCTGGGCTTCTGGAGCAGCAGTGAGGCTCAATGACAACTCCAGGGAAGCTGACTCTTCAACCCCTGTCCTCATCCTCCCACTGGCCCAGGAGACTGAGAGCTGCGCCCAGAGCTCCAGTCAGTGGCCATGGCCTGTGAAGAGCCCTGCTTCTCCCTCACCCTCTGGCAGAGTGGGCTTGGAGAGGCAGCTGTGGTCCAGAAGAGCAGTGGGCTGCCCCGACAGCAGCACAGACTGAATAGCTCAGGACAACAGAGGCTTTTCTTCACTCTGAAGTCCAGAGGTCTGGGATCAAGTGACAGTAGAGCCACACTCCATCTGATGTGCTAGGAAGGGTTCATTCTGGGCCTTACTCCAGTCTCTTGTGGCTTCTCATCCATGACAGCAGAGCTCTGATCTTTACAGGACACTTTTCTGTGTGTGTTTCTGTGTCCAGCTCTCCACTTTGTGAAAGGCCCACTCACAGTGGAACAAGACAGGCCCTAATGAGCTCACCTTAACTTGGTCATGCGCAAAGACCCTATTTCCATGTATGGTTATTGTCACAGGTACTGGGAATCCTGGGGGTTAGGGTTCTGACATACTGATTTCAAGGACACAGTTCAATCCATGACAGTGCCCCTTTCATTTCTCCCTTCCCACTGACC